TTCTTCTTGTTCCATCCCAATTATGTTGCCATGCCCAGAATTCTTCTGTCCTCGGAGCATGCGAGATTGGTTTGACATGGTTTGACACGTGTCCACGTTCTGACCAGGATGGGCGAGGACATCCTGAGGAGGTATCTCAGCCAGCAAAGTCAATTGAACCCCTGCAAACTGCTGGATAGTCTTTCACACGCACGCACGCAGCACGCACGCACCACGCACGCACCACGCACGCGCACATACACACACATGCGCATGTGTGTGTATATATCTATCTAATTTAACCGCCGTTGGCGTGTTCCGCCGGCCACCACGGCCAGAGCTATTTCGGCTTCTCAGACCTTCAACGCAGAGACATGGCATAGGAGAGATAAAGCGCAAGTGCATGCAGTAAAGCGTAGCAGCAGTCAGGATAGGGGTGTAGATTTGGGGCCATGGACGCAACTGAAAAGATCCCGGCGTCGCAAACATGTATAGCAGAGATAGGACATAGAAGCAGATAAAGTGCAAGTGCGTGCAGCTCAGCATAGCAGCAGCCAGGATAGGGGTCCAGATTTTGGGGTATGCAGGCACCTGAAAAGACAAAGGCCAACATAGCAAGGAAGGGGCGGTAGCAGGAACAGGTCAATTAGATGACTGCGTGCTTAAGTCCGGGCTGGTGAGGCATTCTTGGGGCGTATGCTTTGAGGATGGAGCCATCACCTGGTCAAGGAGCCATGGAGCAGGACGTGTTCGACGTGTTGGAAAGGCTGTGGGTGACGGAGGCATCACCGCATCCTAGGAGAGCTTGGGAGAAGGGCATAGCAGCTATTGCCAGGCTGTTGAAAAAACAGCCGACACTTCCATGCAAAGTCTTGGGAGGGCAGTGGACGCAAGAGGAGTTGGACAGAGGGGTGCTCCTGCCTAGGCAGCATTGCCCTTTTGACGGATGCGTGTGGAGGGGGGAGAAGGTAGATGAGCTTTTAGCCCATGTAAGGGAGGACCATTACACCAGGGAATTGCAAGATGCCGTTGCATCCTTGGGCGGAGTGGCTTTCAAAGCTGCGTTGTATACTGTGCTGAACTCAGCTGTGAGTGTGGTCTGCCAGCAGCGACCCCCAGTGGTTTCCCTTGCGCAGGATCGGCGTGCATTGAAAGTATTTCATGAGAGCATAAGCCATTCAGAATTGCAAGGCTTGATTTGTTTCTGCTGTGGATGTGTGCATCCGCACCTTCCGGGGGAGGCGAGGCAGAAGGTGGCGTGGAAGCGAGCTGGTCCAGCAGGGACTGGGAGGGATGTGGTGTTGGAGACTTTTCTGGGGCTGAACAAGCAGCAGGTAGAGGATTTCTTCGGTATTGACACGTATCTGAAGCAATTTGGCGGGCCCTGGCTTTCCAAATTTGCGGGATGCTGTGTGGCAAGGCGAACTGGAAGAATGGCAGTGCACCCTGAGGTTTGAAGAGGGGGAGGTGCGGATTCTGTGCAACGCAGAAGATCGGCGATGCGAATGCGAACATGGGGACGATTGGCCGGATGTATGTCCGCAATGTGAAATTCCCATTTGTTTCTCATGTCAAAAGGCATTGCAGAGCAGGCCGCAGCAGATGCCGGTAAGGGCTTTGAGCAACAATCTTTGGACAGGATTTGCCAGATGACCCAGCCCTCATGTTCCTTCAAGAGTTGAGAACGTTGAGATTCTGAGACACTTTGTGCAACTTGACCCAACTTTGCACATGTTGACAGCCCCGATTCGTGGTCGCTTTGTGTCAGCTGCAGGTACTCTTCAACTTGCTGACGTCGAGCTGCCGGAGCCAAGCGACAGATGACCCAGCCCAGAGTCGAAAAGAGCAAGGGCGAAACAGCACCTGACTATGAAATCGAAATTTATCGATGATGGTTGACAGGTTTTGTACAAGTGTAAGTTGCAACCCCAGGCTGGCTTCGGCGGTACCGCCACGATAAAGTGAGCATTTTGTGGATTTGGTTCCTAAAAGGCTGGTGTTACTCTTGCTCACCAAGATAGAAGTCCTAGACCCTGAAAAGGTGGGAACCAACCCTGCTCTTCAGTGCAGTCAAGAGAGAGAGAGTAGCAAAGCAGCCGACCCAGCAAGAGCATGAAGGTGAGGAAGCCGGGCAGGGCACTTGTGTAAGACAGGGTTGGTCTGTACAGGAGTGGGTTTGAGTGCAGCAAAGCTTTTGGCTAAACCAAGGCTGTTGTGTAGACGGGGCGTCAGCCCTAGAAAGCCCTTGTAGCACATTCATGGCGAAGCAACGGCGGCAGAAGAAAGCTTAGACAACAGCAAGCCAGCTAGCCAACCAAGAACGTGAAGCGCAGGACGCAGTGGAGCAAACAAGAACACGCGCACGGTGTGCAAGGCGGGGGCAGAGACGAACCCAGCACATTGCAACGAAAGACACAGAGGAAAAATACGAAGAGAAGACAGAAAAGATTGTGTTGCCTAAGCGGGGTTTGGGTTGAAATTGGGGGAGGGGGGGGGGAGGTTTTGGGGGGAGACAAGTTAGACGGGGCAAAAATCCGCGCCAAGGGAAAGTCTAGACAAAGACAAAAGACTAAACAAACAGTACAACTACGAACAAGCAAGATCCACAAGACACGCCGGCAGGCCGGCGGATTCTATATACATGCATTATACAAACATGCATTCATAGGTACATGCATACAATCCTACGTACATACGTATGTATGTACAACGCAGTTTGTTCAAAACCTGGATTTCATCAATCCTGCGGAACTGATTTGATATGGCCACCAATTCTAACATGGACCTTTGGATAGTCTCATCTTTCAAACTGCTTTTCTTTCAAACAGCAGACCAGCGCAGATTATTGAGAAATGAGGAATGGCACTATCAGGTGAGCAGAGATGTCATGGAGACAAGACTCTTTGCCTTTCCTCAGTCAGGTAAACACCTTCTACGCCAACGTGCTCTTAGCACCAGCCCTCTTTAAGCCTTTTCCAGGCTGTGGCAATGGGTTTGTGACACCTTTATTTTGGAAAGATCAAACGAAGTTGAAGCGGATCCGATTCTCTTTGTCTGTCCGTGTCAAAAAGGTTTTAACCACTTGGATTCAACGAGCGCCGCAAATCAACTGATACGGGTGGCTTTGGCTGTGTACAGAAGCAGTCTCAGTTGTCTATCGACTGACAATGACTGTCGTTTTATGTCAAAACAAGGTGCCCTCTCCGACTGGCTCCGACTCCGGGGCATCGGCCGACGCCCAATTTTGGCGTGGATGCCTGGATCGACCTGGATTCGGACGTCCCACAGATCTGACACGAATTGCCGGGCCGGGCCTCGCTGCCTTGCGAGATCTTGCGAGCACATGTAGCCGTGTAGCGCCTTCCGTTGGATGCTTTTGGCAGTGCCAGCTTTGTCAGGTCGTCATCCACATTTTGTGGTGCGCAGCCCTTGTAGAGGCAGCAGACTCCAGGCCCTTGGATGCCGCCAGGGCTTGGCCGGGTCTTGTCGCTGTCGCAGCTGTCGCATGCTATTTTTGTTGCCCGGATTTGACTTTGTCCGTCAGGTCCCGCAGCACGTTCTTTGTACCTATCTCAGCTATCTCAGTGTTCTCAGTGTTCGGACCGAGTTGGGTACAAACTCACGAACATCAGGAACATGAATGTCATGAATATCATGAATATATATATAATATATATATAATATATATAATATATATATAATAATAATATATATAATATGTATATATATATATGAATATCATGAATATCATGAATCAAGCAAGAGTAACAAGAGTATTTGACAATGTTCATTCTTGAATCAGGATTCTATAGCACTGGTATTATGTATATATATATATATATAGTTGCATCTCCCACATCCGGAACAGGATTGGTTGCCTCCCCAAACAATGAATTGTTTTTTCCATGACAGCTAGTATATGTTGTCCCAAGAGCATCAGAGGTGTTTTGTTTGGGCAAACCTGAAGAGTCGATGTTCTTCAAATTCGTTTGTGCAGTCTGTTGAG